GGTTGTTCCTAAGATGCGATTCGGACACAAAGGGTTTTTACAGGGTTGTTTATATTTTGTTTACCTTTGTATTGACATTTACTTAATTTTAACTTTATCGAAGAAAGTAAAATAACAAAAATACCAAACGCCAAGGAAAATTCAAAACGGAGAGTTCCTTATCAAATGGCAAAATCAAATGCTCAAACACATCAAACCAATGGAAAACAACTGTCATATTCCTGACTTGGTACAAGTATTTCCTCATGTAGAAAATGGTGGATTAAACCTGGTTTTGAAGGTGTATACTTTATACGGTATGTACTATCAACGACAATTTGTTTTTTGATGACGTCATTGTCAAATTTATTTCACTGATGAGTCTTTTGTAGACGAAACTCGTGTCTGGCTTACAACATTTTAATCCTGACATTCATGATAAGTTTATGACAATAGACCTTATCGCTATTTGGAAATCTGCGGCGCTTGATTTTAGAATCTGGCCTCTTGAACTATTGTCGTCATACAACAATCACTTTTCCATTGTAATGTCAGATATTTTCTATTATTACGTCAAAATTTTACGGAAACCTTTGTGATGTTCAGTAATGGCGGACAAATAGCGATAAGGTGTATTAACTGCCCCTTTTTTTGTTGGCGTCTTTGTTAGATTAATTTGTATGATTGTTTGAATTTTTTAGTCAGTTTTGTTGTACGTCTGTATTGTATGTTTTCACAGTTTGGATCCCAAATATAGTCAGAGTAACTTATTATATCTGTTAGGGTTGCTTTCCCAATTTTGTCAATATAACGGAACTATAAACAAATGTGATACAAGTGGGATGTTTAGTTAGCTGTAAAACCAGGTTTAACACACCTTTTTCTTCAGGAGTATGGCAAATGTTTTTCACTTGTTCTGTTGATTGATATCTTTTGATTTTGTCAATTTTCATTGACTTCCCCTTTTTGAATTTGCCTAATAGTTTGGTATTTTTGTTATACTTTTTTCACTAAATATAACTGCATTGTGAAGAGTGGATAAACATATTCAAAAGCAAAAAGAAATAAAGGAAAATATCTTTAAGTAAATCTTTAAATTGTTTAGCAAAGATAAAATACAAACTTTTTTTCAGAAATTTACTCTAAATTTGGTCAGTTTTTATCGACTTCCCCTTTATTGAATTTACCTTGGAGTTCGATATTTTTGTCAATTCGTTTTTTCTGTATTTGTCCAAATCATAGAGCAAATCTGAATACCAAATTGTTCATGGCTTTCATTAATAAATTATTTCAATAGTTCATCAGAATATGAAATATGAAATGATATTTAGAAAGTATAAATGAATTATGAGTCATGGATTGAAATTTCTGCAACGGTTAGCGTCAATCACAAATTCCACACAAAATCATTGTTAATTTCATACCAGTTTTAGGTCAAGTCTCGAAAATTGTAAAAAATATTCAACGACTCTCAAAAAGAATTCTGCAGCTTTATCCACAGGTATTTCCATGTATTTGAACATGGGAAAAACGCTCTTGTCTAAATATTCAATCAATTAACGGTCAGAAAATGTGTAACTTAAAGTCTTGGATAATAAATTGATAAAGTATTCATTGGTATTTGAGAGACAAGTTTTTGCAATCTTACAAACAGTTCACCAGAATAGTCGTCTCATCTTTAAATTTACCGATTGTGTCATATTCTCGATTATGGCATTTTGCCTGCATATGGGTTCACAGATCTAGTAATGCGAACATTGCATGAGGGGCTTACCCTGTCGATGCATACGGTATCCTTTTGAAGGTCTGGCAATTCCCTCAGATATAGTTGTTAACTGTATCTCCTTAATAAATTCTTGAGATTTGAATATCTTTAAACTCTTAATTTGCAAGCAGGACAACAATATTTGAAAAGCAGAATGAAAATGAAAGAATATGTCTATGTACAAAACATTAAAGTATAATGAAATGGCAAATTTTATAATCTTTTATTCACTAAATAAATTAAACTGCATTGTTGGTCGTGGATTACAATGTTTCTAAAAACTTAATGAAAACAAAATAAATTGTTTCAGATAAGATATGTTCTTTGATGATTGACATTTATTCATATGAAACAGAAAAAAGGCGAATAAAAAGGTCATAGCAAGTCTGTGTTAATGAGCAGTCTATTTCCATTAAATGAAGGAATTTCAGATCCGATATTAGAAAGCATCAGTTATATACTAGGATACATTAAGAAAACAGAATATTTGTATTCATATTGTATTAAATATATTATATAAGTATATATATTGTTTTGTAAGATTTTTACACGTGAAAACAAATAAAACGCAAAACATCATTTAATTCAATGCCCTTTTCTCTTTATATATATATACTTATCTTACATTGAGAAAAGTGTCAGAAAACTTTGAAAATATTGACAAAATATGAAAGAAAAATGCTCCCTTTAGAGTTCATGCGATTTCATCAGATTTTTTGTTTACCCTAATTTGTATCGTCAAATTTAGCTGCATTGTGAAAAAAACAAAACATGAAAATGTTCTAAATGCAAAATGCAATAACGGAAGATGTCTACATACAAAACAAAAGTTTGAATATACCTTTGATATCTTTCGTCTCTCTTATACATTCGTTTTTCTGATATACGATGAAAGTCGCTTAATTTTGCGAAATTATTGACCAAATGTCAGAGATTTTAGATGTTAGGAAGAATCAGATATAATAACCATATAATTTGAAAGCATCGTCTTTTTTCTTTAAAAGCGACAGATATATGCTTGTCTTGTTCAGAAGATTCACGTAAAACTAACAAAATCAAACGCTAAAGCAACGTTTAACTCGATACATGTTTCTTGAGGAAACTGCTAGACACCTTTGAACATATTGACAAAATCTGAAGCAAAAATTGTTCATCGCTTTTTACCAATAGGTATTTCAAATTGACCTTCAGATAATATGTAAGATTGAAGTTTTAGAAAATAAATTAGAATCACTAAAGCATATATAACTGCATTGTGGGTCATGAATTGGAAGTTTTCAACGCTTAAGGCAAATACAGATAAATGTGAACAACGTCAGTCGCAAATAATACACTGAGGCATCCATTATTAGTTTTTAAACTGGAACGTACGGAAGTCTCGAAAATTGTAAACACCCAGTTTTTGGTGGGGTTGGTGTTTCTCAGTCTTTAGTTTTCTATGTTGTGTTTTGTGTGCTATTGTTTGTCTGTTTGTCTGTTGATCTTTTTTTCTTTTTTAGCAATGGCGTTATCAGTTTATTTTTTACTTATGATAGATATAAGAAGATGTGTTATGAGTGCCAATGAGACAACACTCCATCCAAGTCACAATTTGTAAAAGTAAACCATTATAGGTCAAAGTACGGCCTTCAACACGGAGCCTTGGCTCATACCAAACTATATGGGGCAAGCTATAAAGGGCCCCAAAAATGACTAGTGTAAAACCATTCAAACAGGAAAACCAACAGTCTAATCTATATAAAAGACGAGAAAGACTTTTGAACCACATCAACAAACGACAACCACTGAACATCAGGTTCCTGACTTAGGACAGGTGCAAACAAATGCAGCGGGTTTAAACGTTTTAATAGGCACCAACCTTCACCCTAATCTAAAACAATAGTGTAACATCACAACATAGAAAGACACACTGTAAAATATCAATTGAAATGGCTTAACTCAATCAAATGACATATTAACAAAAACAAGTGAACATACACTGAACGAATAAATTTGATCTATGACACAATGTAAATACAAAGTTAATAAAACATGGGGGTTAATTGTAAAACAATATCAGAAAGACAACAATAACCTTGGACAAAATGCCGCCAAATAAAATAACGTACACAGGTAAATAAAAATAATTCTGTTGTAAGGTATACATGGAGTACGGAAATATTTTTTACAAAATAAATAATTTTGTTCATAGTACGAGAACAGAAGTGAAAATTTTTCGTCATACAAAACACTTATTAAAGGTTGTATATATTAAAAATAGTGAGACGAGATATAACACTAAATAAGTAAACATTAGATAACAAATATGCATTACAAATTGTATCAACAGGTCAAATTAACACGAAAGTACAATTTGAGAGTACTCGCAGTTACTGAAAGCTAGTTGAAAGCCAAAAACAATTAATAATATGAAATTTTGAATGTCCCTTTGGCATTTTTCGCCTCTCTTTTGTAAAAAAAACCCATTTACCAATTTTTATAGAAAAGAAATAGGTATTTCCAATTATTTAAATATCGATAAACTATTTATGCCTAAATTTCGAGTCATGAAACTGTAAACATTAAGTTTCAAGTAAAAAAATTGTAAAAAAAAAAAATTTGAGCGACAAGTTTTGGCAGTATTAGATATTAAGTCATCAGAATAGTTGTCTTTTTGGTAAATTTACCGATTACGTGTCATATTCCAGATTGCGACATTCTGACAAATTAAAGATGGCCAGGGCTGGTAATACATGCATATCAGTAAGTGCTTACCTTGTCGACACAAGTTTCGCTCTTTTTGAGTTTATGCAATTCCCTCAATAATGGCTTTTTTACTCTGAATTGTAGATCCTTAATACATTTATCAGATTTAAATATCGGTAAAAAGTAAAATAACAAAAATATCGAACTCCGACCTAAATTACTACTGCCCCTAAATCAGCAAAGAGAACTGCATTTTTGAATAATGAAGTAAAATATTTAGAAGGTAAAAAATAGAAGACCTCTACGCGACAAATAATTAGCTTAAAAGCAATGTTGAATTGAAGACACATTTTGTTATCTAATATTTAGGCATACCTCCTTAAATTGTTAAATTTAATAACGAAATCTGAGCGTAAAATGGTTCAACGCTTTTACTAACAAGTTATTTCATTTAACCGTCAGAAAAGTCAACTCAAAGTTTCAGACACTACACTATAAAATCAATCGTGCATATAAAAGTGCATTGTTGGTGTTAATCACAATTTTTGAAAAGCTTTATGAAAACAAAAAAATACAGGTTGAACATTTGTTCGATTGACAGTATTTTCTTTTAAAATTTACATTCGTTTATATTTTCCAGGGGAATAAAGAGCTAAAATAAAAATTATGGTGAGTCTTACCAAATGTATAGTCTATCTTATGACATTTTGTTATTGTGCTATGGCAATTATTTGTATTCCTTCCTATAATTTTTGCTTATGTGCTTTGTCTATAGAGTGTCTATATGCCATTTTGTTTTTCTTTGTTGACATAGTTGTTTGTTTTTATGGTGATTAAGATAAGGACACAATGTTGACTGCTGTTACCCAATGTTTGACATTTTTACCCATTATTTGTGTTTGATTTGCTCACATATTGTTGTCAATATAATGGAATTCTATCTGACTGTCATACAAGTGAGAGGTTTTGTTCGCTATAAAACTAAGTTGAATCCACCATTTTATACATAAGGGAATGCTTGTAACAAGTCTTTCACATTTTGATGAGTTTGACTTTTTGATTTTACCATTTTATAAGGGACTTTCCGTTTTGAATTTTCCTTGGAGTTCGGTATTTTTTATACGACCGCAAAAAATTTTTGCGGTCGTATATAGCTATCACGTCGTCGCCGTCGTCGTCCGAAGACATTTGGTTTCCGGACAATAACTTTAGTTTAAGTGTATGGATATCTATGAAATTTAATTAAAAGATTCAATACCACAAAAGGAAGGTTGGGATTGTTTTTGGAGGTAATTGTCCCAACCGTTTAGGAATTAGGGGCCAAAAAGGGGCCCAAAATAAGCATTTTCTAGTTTCAGGACAATAACTTGTGTATAAGTATTTTGATTGCTCTGAAATTGTACACAAGGTTCAATACCACAAGTAGAAGGTTGGGATTCATTTTGGGGGTAATTGCCCAAATCGTTCAGGAATTAGGGGCCAAAAAGTGTCTAAAAAGTAAAATCACAAAAATACTGAACTCCGAGGAAAATTCAAAAAGGAAAGTCCCTAATCAAATGGCAAAATCAAAAGCTCAAACGCATCATCCATTATATTGACAACGATGCGTGAACAAAACAAACAGACACAATAGGTAAAAATGTCAAAAATAGGGGTACAAGCATTTTTCTAGTTTTTAAACAATAACTTGTGTTTAAGTGTATGGATGTCTCTTAAATTGTACCGCATTTTACAAAAAGAAAACTTCTTCAAATCTTTTTTTTTGGAGGAGGGGGGGGGGGGGTTAAAACAATTTTTTTTGGGGGGGGGGGGGTAATTTTTTCCTCAAGATTTAAGAAATTGTCAATTATTTTGCTAATTCTTTGTATATAGTCTGAAAACAGATTTACTAAGTATTGCATAACAGCAAGAAATCCTCAATGGAATATAAATTCAAATCATATAACCAATTTCAAGTTCTTTGATTACATTTATTCTGTGTCAGAAACCTATAATGTGTCAAATATTTAAGCTTGAATATTGTGTCCATTTTTGCCCCAACTGTTCAGGGTTGGACCTCTGCGGTCGTATCCAGCTGCGCTCGGCGAAGCAGTTTATTTTATTTTATTTTTTATTCAAACAAAGCATTTTAAGAACAGATGTTATGAGGCATCAATAATACAAGCTTTCATTATGACAGCATCGGTGAAAAAATTAAAACGACAAGTTTGTGTTCTTTTTTTATATTTCAGGTAAACAAACGAATGAAACGCAAAAGCAATGTTAAACTCGATACCTGTATCTTTTTATTTTAAATTGATGAAATTGTCATAAATCTTCGAAAATATTGCCTAAATCTGAAAATAAAATTGTTCAGCCCAGTTACCAACAGGTATTTCCAATTGATTGTTAGATATATGATGCTAAAACATTTTTGGCTACCGAGCCACGCAAAAAAATACACTTGATGTTGTCTAACAATGTGCAAGAGTTCATTACATATTCAAGTATGGTATCAAACGAAATCCCAAGGTATTAGTTTTCTAAATATTATTAGGATTTCAGCTTTGTTGGTTACAATTCTTCTCATGATTGAAATATCCCCACCGACATCATGAAGAATGTAAACAAACGTGTATTCGTTATTCACAACAAATAAGATATAAATAGTAATTAAAAATTTGATTTATTGTGATGTTATTGTTACACTGAATATATTTAGCAGCTATTTGACTTGTTTGAAGCAATATTTGTAGTCAGTAAACTAGGATGAAGACAAAATTTAAAATTTGAAGATATTCAAATATTTAACCATGTTTTGCGGTTTTTTTTTACCAATCATAAACTTGATGTTCATAATTCCATAGAATATCGATGAACAACAGAACTAGCTAATTTTGATAGTGTAAAACCTTAAAATATTGAACATATTACCCCTACTCAAACAAATTTCAACTGAAAACAGTGAATTTCAAACAATGAACACCTTTATTCATTCAACTAAATAATAATCTGGTATATTCGACCTTCTGGTTTGCCATATGCCATGTCCGTAGCTTCAGTTTTGAAAGAGAAGAAAAATTTCGGATTTACAGATTTTTCAGACTTGTTTTGTCATTTTGAAATAAAAAAAAAGATGATATATATGTCTACTTAAAATGTTAGGCTATCTTCCATGCAACAATGTATTGACATCTAATGAACCCCAGCTATCTATCATTTTCTTGTGCAAAATTATGGAAATGGAAAATATTACTTCTACTTCTAGCAAATCTGACTAAAAAAACGCAAACATTAGACAATTGAAGGGTTAATATCACATATCAAGACGATGATTTCTTTCAGATTACTTGTATTCATGTCAAATACAGACATATTCAATATTTTTCATTTTTATCCATCTTCCTCGAAGTTTTTATTATACTTATAACATCAAAACTAATTCATTTCTTATGAGCCTAGGGGATCAATTTGATGTCAAACATATTTTATTTAGAAGGAAAACATTACCCCTACCCAATGCAAATTTGAGCAAAAATGTATATATTTGACTGAAAATGGTTTCAAATCAAGGACATCCCATTCAATATTAACACATTAACTTCCCATGAAGATAAAAAAAAAAGCAAAAAAAAGTAGGTCCATTTACTAAACCCTGTGAGTACAAAAATGGCGTAAAAATCTATATTGCTTAAAATAAGCATATTTCATATAAATCATGATAAGTCACATTTTTATATTTTTGCTCAAATTTGCAATGGTAAGGGGTGATTTGTTTGCTTTTCAATTTAAAGTTGGTACGAGAAAATAATTGATCACTATGCTATAATAGACGTCAAATACATTGTGTTTTTGTTACTTTTTTTTATTTACCCAAAATTATACGTTTTTTTTTATTTCTCTGTATACAAAAATAATTTTGAACGAAATGGATCGCTTAAAATATATGTACTTGATATAACTATAATTCTTTTGAACCTAATTGTTGTTTCATTTGGTGTATTTAGCAGTTATTCGATGATTTTTATTCCTGTTTGCTCAATTTTGCATGCGTAGGAATATTTTCCATTTTCATAAGATTTAATATGATCAGATAACAGATCGCTAGGGTAAATATAATATCTGCTCTACTCTTCCACTGGGTAAAGCCAATAGTTCTGGATATAAGATACATATTGCTATTTAAAAAGGATAAATAAAACAGAATTTTAGAAAATCTGAACAGTCTGAAAATCGAAATTCGTCCCTTTTCCACAAATTTGGCCGAATGGTTTTCAAAAATACATTTTGTACAAAGTTATTACAAATGTTTGCCAAATCATTCTTCGGTTGAAGTATTCATAAGTAATATTAATAGTGTATAGTTGAACTTTTGGGAGGTTAGGGTAGTATTTTCAAAATTTGTAGTATTCATCCACTTAAAACTAACAATGTCTGATGTCTATATTAAAGGTTAAAGATTATACTATTTATTGAGATCATTCGGACTGTTTAAGCATCAGCAGATTGGTCATCAGAGGCAGAAGAAGGTCAAATCTTGACAAATCTGAAAATTTATTTCCCAATTCTCTCGTATTCTGACCACAAATTGTGCTTCAAACCTTAAAAGTTCCACCAATATTTCCACTTCCTCAATACGTATTATAATACACTAAATAATCAATTGTTTATTTTACATTTGGTGTTTGTAAAGAATTTTTTTTTAAAGTTTTTTTGCCAATTTTCCATGGATTTATATACTTCGAAAGTGAGACGAATTGTGAACAACGGAGCTTAAAAAACCTAATAACATTTATAAAGCTACTACCCCGGGCTTTCATTTGATACCGTATTCGAACTCTTGCATATTGATAGACTTCATGAAGTGTATAGTGTTGTAATAACAGTACTTTATGACGGCCATCTTTATATCGGATATATTTTTTGTTGCACAATATCTGAAATTATTCTATGTCATTTAATCTTTTACTATGCAAAGTTTCATGCTTTTCGGGATAAAAAGATATCATCCAATATGAAATTTTGACCATTTGTAAAGCATGAAACTTGGCATAGTAAAAGATTAAATGACATAGACAAATAACCTTTCTGGAGCACCTACGATCAGACCAGATTTTTGGTAGGGTTCTAGTTTCTCAGTTTTTAGTTCTCTATGTTGTGTTTTTTATACTGTTGTATGTCTTTTGGTCGTTTTCGTTTTTTGCCATGGGTTGTTAGTTTGTTTTCGACCTCTAAGTTTGAATGCCCCTTTAGTATCTGTTTTTGCAAGATGCTTTTTTGTTGACTTTGGGGAAGTTTTGTATGAATTGCTCCATATCATTACAAAAAACGAGTCCGGCAGCAGAGTTGCACAATAAGTACACATAGGAACACCGACTAACACAAGAATTCAGTTGTCGATCAAAAAGTCCAGCATTTTGATGATACCATCTTCATGTATTTGATATTTGAATCAGTACAGTTCTTAACAATACATTTTTTTTTCGTGACCTAAAACAACAAATGTGTATCTACGATATCGTTTTTTGTAGATAATACTCTGTTTAATGAGAAGATGTATTCAAACTTTCGATTGAACTTTGATAATAGTATTGTAAAGCCTAGAAAAATCAATAGTTTTGCTATTACAACAAAATGTAAAGATTATGATGTCAGATTTTGTAGTAGGCCTTTGATATTTCACGAATCCATTTCTGATTTGACACCGCTGTTTGAATATACCTCATCGCTATAAATCGGTCTTTATATGTTTGTGTGAAGTGTAGGAATCTAATATAAAAACGGGAGATTTCATCATCATTCGTTATGTTATTACCAAATGAGAAAAGAGCGGATTTGTGATTTTTAAAATCCCATCTTTAGTGAATGATGTATATGTGATTGATATATGTGAGATTCAAAGTTTTGCTGTGAATTATAAATATTTAGTGAAACAAATGATAACAATAACGTTTCAGATTTGTTTTGCTGGAACAACAACGTATTTGTTGTGAAGATGAAGATAAAGCATCAACATCCTCTGGCGTCTTAAAAGTGTTAAAAATCCAAGTGCTCATTGTACGTCATAGATTTTTAATGTGCTTCTAAATGCATCATCGAGCAGCCTTGATCCATTTAGATAAAGTGTCTAGTTTGGGATCATCTCACTCGCACTTTTCGTCATTTTCTTGCAAAGTCCAAAACTGCGTCCATTCGTAACCTGAAATTCTTCGTATTTTGTTGATGGGCCAGAGAATTCTATATTTTGTACCTTTGGATTACAACTCATTTAGATGTTCATTGTTTACAAAGCCTTTTTCTCCTGTAAGTATACTGCTAATACAATAGTTGCATTCATCGTATAATGTACATCTCTTTAAAATGATAGAAACATTTGAGAAACAAGAATATATTTGATATTATGTCTTCCTTAGTTATAGTTTCATGGTAAATGATATCTAATTCCTCTGCATACTCTCGACGATTCACTTAAAGACACGAAAAGCTGCTTCTAACAACAATTGACTTCCACATCGACATAGGAACTTGAAAAACATTGAAAATATAATTAATGTAATACACCGCATTTCAGCGTTAACACCAACAGATTTTGGTGTAGCTATTAAAAAGATGGTATCACAATGCCACCATTTTATTTCAGCGTTATTAAAACCGAACTTTAGTGTCAAACCATCATAATTCAGCGTGATAGTCGCGGTCAAAACGACCATTGCAGTCCAGAGTCATATATATTTTCAATTACCATTTAAAAATATGCAGACAGGTAAAAACAATACACTGTGACAGCAGTTTAGCAAATATGGCTGCATTGTGAATTGTAAATTATGACAGTGTATAAACGAAAATAGGGGAAACATAACTTTAGAAATTTTTATTAATTATGGTATTTTCTTAAGCCATTTTCATTCATTTATATTTATGAGATTAGAAACAGCAGACAATTTCAGTTCTGTTGAGTCTTTTCAAATGTACTACCTTTATTTTTAGAAATGGCAAATTAAGATGAAATGAAAGGTAGCACCAAATAAACTATGAAAATAAGGAGAAGTGGTATGATTGTCAATGAGACAACTATCCACCAAAATTGAAATGCAGTGGATGTAGGCTATTATCGGCCATCGTACGGCCTTTAACAAAGAATAAATATAAAACTATTTAATTAAGAAAAGTAACGGCCTTGTTCATATCAAAACAATTTACGAAAAACAAATAAGACAAATAGGACTAGCCTGCATTTAGAGAATTAATTATACGTAAAAATGCAACAAAAATGCATTTTTTACGTGAAATAGCAAAAACAAAAACAAAAGGCAAACACAATGTTACATTATAAACTATTTTATATTTATCTTAAATGGAGGAAAGTTTTTGAAATCATGACCAAGTCTGAAGCAAATCGGTTACACGCTTTTATGAAAACGTATTTCCAATTCATCGTTTTGAAAAAATGTTCACATTAAGGTAGTAAAATTTCGTTCGTTTTTCGTTAATTAATATTCATAACATGTGACCATCCGTATGTATTTAATCCCGTGCAGTTATATCTGACCATCAACTTTCGCTATAGTGTCAAGAAGAGACACGTTTATACACGCATAATTCAATTAGTAATTTCATTGACAATTAGTGTTATACTGTGTTGTATTTGATGTGTATTAACTGTAGTATATAAGGTTATTCTGAGGAGTAAACTTCAATTGGATCTTTTTGTTTAGGTCATATGATATAATTATTTTATATTTGGATGGACGTTGTGACGGAGAATATGACAGACAATCAAAACACAGCTTCAGAATATGGTGCCTTCTAAGTAATACATGTCGTACACTAAAACATTGCAATAGGTTGTTAACATCACAAACAACGGGACTTGAATTAATTGAATGAAGTTATTTCAATTTTGGGGTAACAACAATGAAATCAATCATAACCCTTAGAATTCTGAAACGGCGAATTGTAAAATGGTCCAAGAAAATGAAATGTCCCTGCATTTTTTACAACGAATAAAAATGCCGAAAAGCTTAAAATACATACCGAAAAAAAACATTCCTAACCATATGTAATTTTATTCAGATTACTGTTGTATTTATTAAAAAAATCTTTATATATTCAAGAGAAAAAAGATGAAAGTTGAGGTAAGTGTTCTCAAATATACTTGCTAACACAAAATGTGGCATATAAAAAGGGGACATTCAAAACTAGATATCGAGAGAGAAGATGGAAACATCATTGTACCAAAACTTATGATGACAAACAGACAAACAAGTTCATGAAACACTTCACAAAAAATGACGTCTTAGTCAAGAGAAACAAATAAAAACTGGTGTGATCGAAGTAGCCCCAAAGGATAAGCAGAACCTGTTCTACTAGTGGCATTTGTCATGATACTGTTTGGTGATGTCATAATCGAGGAAAAGAGAAGGGGATTGTGGTTAAAAGTATGCTAGCAAAGACTCTACAATAAAGATAAAATTTTAGGCTGCATCAAACATACTTACCTGTACAACGGCATCGCGGAACCACAGTAGTTCAGTCAGTGTAACGTAAAGTTAACAAAACGAGTGATGCCCGACCTATTTGCTAATGATTCAAATGTAACAAACTTGTACAGAAAATAATGTATAATCACATTAACGGTACACATTTCCCTGCACCAGATCCACAATACGATTTTCAATGTCTCGCCAGTGATGCACGAGGCTAAACTATATAAAAAGTCCAATGTATAACACAAACGTCAAAGAGCTAATAAAACCAATAACGACCGAAAGGAAAATCAAACCCGAAAAAGAAATAAAGTAGTGCTATGCATAAGAGAGATATTTCCTTGATTTTAATGATTTCGAAATTTAATACCATCAAATTCAGTAGATATAGCAACAAATTCAGTAAATATAACAACAGGCTCAGTAAATATTACAACAAATTCAGTAGATATAACAATATCCATACTTTCACGTAGAACCGAATCACTGTGCACTTGGCTGAAGATATCATAAGAGACCAATAGTCCACCAGTAGAGGTATTTCCAGTTGTAGTAATAACATTGTGAATACCAATTTTACTACACCAGATGCGCATTTCGACAATCAATGTCTCTTCATTGATGCTCGAGTCAAACACAATCGTCAAAGAGCTGATGTAAATCATATAGCAATTTAAAAATTTAGGATCACCATTGTAGAGAATTATTCACAATGCCGTTATTTTTTGCTATTCAAATTGCTTTACAATGTATAAGCAAGATAAAGTGTCTTAAGAGTTGTATTTTTTTTATCATATCTTTTAACACGATTTCTGAAGTTTTAATCGAATCGCTTTTAATCTTTCTTTATAGGTTTGTGTGATGTTTAGGAATCTGATCTAAAAAATGGTTATCATCCTTTGTTGTGTTATTACCAAAGGAGAGAAGAACGGATTTGTGATTTCTAAATCCCATCTTTTATGAATGATGTATATGTGATGGATATATGTGAGATTCGAAGTTTTGCTGTGAATTCCAATTCTTTAGTGAATCATATGAAAATGGTAATATTTCAGACTTTTTTTGGTGGAACAACATATTATTTGTCGCGTAGATGAGGCATCCACATCCTCTGGCGTCTTAAAAGTGTTAAAAACCCGCGTGTTCATTGTACATCGTAGATTTTCAATGTGCTTCTGAATGCATCACCGATCAGCTTTAATCCCTTTAGATAAAGTGTCCAGTTTTTGACCATCTGACTCGCACTTTACGAATTTTCTTGCATAGTCCACAACTTCATCCATTCATTACATGAAATTCTTCTTTTAATTGATGGGCAAAGGAATTCTGTATTTTGGAACTTTGGATTACAACTCTCTTAGAAGTTCATTGTTTACAATGCCTTTGTCTACTGTAAGTATACTGCTAATACAATAGTTTCATTTATTTTATAATGTACATCTTTTGAACATTTGGTTTTTCTTTAACATTTGAGAAACAAGAATATACTTGATATTATGTATGTCCTGAGTTATAGTTTCATGGTAAATGATACGTCCTAGTTAATTCCTCTGCATAATCTCGACGATTTACTTAAACGCATGAAAAGCTGCTTTTAACAACAATTGACTTCTACATCGACATAGGAACATGAAAAACATTACAAATATAATAAACGTTATACATCACACTTCAGCTTGAACACCAACGGATTTTGGTGTAGCTATAAAAAAGATGGCATCACAATGACACCATTTCATTTCAGCGTGATTAATTCCGAATTTCAGCGTCATTCTATCGTACTTCAGCGTGATACATGGGTTTAGAACGACCATTGCGGTACAAAATCATATATATTTTCAATTACCTCCTAGAAATATGCAAACAGTTTCAAACAGTACAGTGTGACAGTAGTTTTATCAAATATAGCTGCATTGTTCATTGTATATTATGAAAATGTATAGATGAAAATAGGGGAAAAATGACTTTAGAAATTTGTTTTAAATACGTTATTTTCCTCTGCCATCTTCATTCATATATATTTATGAGATATGAAACAGAAGACAATTTCAGTTCTTGTGGTTTTTTCAACTGTACTTGCTTTTAGAAACAGCAAATTAAAGTGAAATGAAAGGTAGCACCAACTAAACTATAAAAATGAGGAGAAGTGGTATGATTGCCAATGAGACAACTACCCACAAAAGTTAAAAGGAAGCGGATGTAAGCAATTATTGGCCATTGTACGGCATTCAACAATTAGAATCACCCATGCCGTACAGTCAGGCACTGCCATGAAAAATATAAACAATTCAATTGAGAAAAATAACGGCCTTATTTATAACAAAACAATTTACGAAAAACAAATAAGATAAATATGACTAGCCTGCTTTTAGAGAATTAAATTAATAATACTTAAAAAAGCAACAAAAATGCATTTTTTACGTGACATAGCAAAAAACAAAAAGGAAAACACAATGTTAGATTATAAACTAGTTTATGTTTATCTTAAATGGAGGAAAGTTTTTGAAATCGTAGAATACCATGACCAGATCTGAAGCAAATCGGTTACACGTTTTTATGAAAACGTATTTCCAATTGATCGTTTTGAAAAAAAATGTTCACATTAAGGTAGTGAAATTTCGTTCGTTATTCGTTAATTAATATCTATATGTGACCATTTGTATGTACTTAATCCAGTGCAGTTAAATCCTACAATCAATTTTCTTTATAGCATCAAGAAGAGAAACGTTTATTCACACACGTGTAAATCAATGAGTTCTTGTATTAATAATTCGCGTTATTATTACTAGATATAATACTGTGTTGTATTTGATATGTATAAAATGTAGTATTGAAGGTTATTTTGAGTAGTACACGCAGGCCGTGTTTTCTTTGAGGAAAAGTCCGTGTGGCGTAAGTATTCTCAAAACTTCAACTAAATTTATTACGTTGTTATTTTTGAAAATAAATGTTTACATGTAGTTTAAATTAGGTTTTGACTACATGCAGTCGATAGTCAATGTAGACCTTGTGGGAGTTAATCGTACATAAAACAGGATATTAAGAGTGTGGATTTTATCACTGAATATTTAAAGAAGTTACATATATTGAATAAAAATTATTATCTTTATGTAAAAAAAAAAAAAAAAATCTCAATAATAAATGCTTGCATGATTAACTTTAAATAGTTTTTGTTGACCATTTGATTTTCAGTCAGAGGGGGATTTTTTGCTGATGGAATATTTATTTTACACCTGTTTTACAGGGCTTATTTATTTAGTGCGAACAATAATTTTCAAGCTTGGAACACAATTATTTCTTGCAATGTCCTGCCTAAAATAGCACAAACTATTCAAAACAGGTTTTTAAATAAATATTCTGGACTTGCGCAGTCAAGAATGTTCATTTCTAAAATTACCCATGGTGACTGGTGACTAGAAATATGGTCTCTTGGGATTCCCTAAAGGTACCGACCATTTATTTTCGTGGGACAAACAGTTTTTTTATGACTTTAAAAAAACAACTTTTTTTTATAATAACATATATAGGAAAAAATTTTAAACTCCATTATGAATCCCCTTGCCCTTCATTTTCAATGGAATCAAACAATTTTTCACAATTCACTCCAGTTTTCCCTCAAAATATTGGAGTTCCAACAATGTATCTTATATATGTATCTATATTATTTATGCGACTGTCATACAAGTGAGAGATTTAGCTAGCTATAAAACCAGGTTTAATCCACCATTTTCTACATAAGAAAATGCCTGTACCAAGTCAGGAATATAACAGTTGTTATCCATTCGTTTAATGTGTTTGAGCTTTTGAATTTGCCATTTGCTTAGGGACTTTCCGTTTAGAATCAGCGTTCAGTATTTTGTTATTTTTCTTTTAACTTGTGTTAACAATTATCATGTACAGGTAATCAACACCAACGTACAGATGAGAACAAATTTTATGTGAAACCAATGTTCATTACATGAAACTTATTATAAACAGGTTTACAGTACGCGATGTTTTGGTGTGAACACGGTCTTACATTGGATCTTTTTTGTCTAGGACATATAATATAATTATTTTATATTTAGACGGACGTAGTGAGGGAGAATATAATAGGCAATCAAGTCCCCGTTTAAGAATCTAATGCCTTCTTGGTACTTCATGTCGTACACCAAAACATTGCAATATGTTGTTAACGTCATAAACAACGGAAGGTGAATTAATTGATTGACGTTATTTCAATTTTGGGGTAACAACAATGAAATTATCCATAGTCCTTTGTATTTTGAAACGGTGAATTGTAAAATGGTTTAAGAAAATAAAAGTCACTGAATTTTGTGCAACGGATAAAAATATTGAAAAGCTTGATACATAAAACGAAAAACCATACGTATTCTTTTCAGATTACTGTTGTATTTATCAAAGAAAAAAGAAATTCTTTATTTCTTCAACAGAAAAAAGATAAATAAAAGTTAAGATAAGTGTTCCCAAATATACTTATTCAAAAAACAAAATTCAAAACTCGATATCGAGAGAGAGAAGATGAAAATATCATTGCAAAAAACGACAAAAAAAAGCAAACAAGTTCATAAAACACTTCACCAAAAGAAAAGTCTTAGCCAAGAAAAAACAACAAAAATTGGTGTGATTCTCAGTAGCACCTGGAGGATAAGCAGATCCTGTTCTGCTAGTGGCACTTGTCGTGATACTGTTTGGTGATGCCAAAATCGAGGAAAAGAGAAGGGGATTGTGGTTAAAAGTATGCTATACAAAGACATCACATAAAAGATAAAATTTAAGACTACTATAAACAAATATACCTGTACAATGGCATAGAGGAAACACAGTATTACAGTCAGTGTAACGTAAAAGTTAACAAAACGAGTGATGCCCGACCTATTTGTTGTTGATTCAAATGTAACAAACCGGTACAGAAAATATATCACATAAACGGTACATATTTCACTGCAACAGATGCACATTTCGACTTTCAATGTCTCGTCAGTGATGCACGAGGCCAAGTTATATAAAAGTCCAATGTACAACAAAAACGTCAAAGATCTGATAAAACCAATAACGACCGAAAGGAAAGCCAAACCTAGACAAGGAATCAAAAAGAGCAATCCATGAGAGAGACAGTTCCTTGATTTTAAATGATTTCGAAATTTGATAACATCCAATTCAGTAGATATCTGTACTTGCTTGAAGTACCGAAACATTTTGTACTTGGCTGGTGATATCACAAGAGACCAACAGTCCATCAGGAGAGGTATTGATCCAGGGGTAGTAATAACATTAAAAATTACTAATTTTACTGCACCAGATACGCATTTCGACAATCAATGTCTCTTCACTGATGCTCAAGTCAAACACAAGCGTTGAAGACCTGATGTAAATTATAATGCAATTCAAAAATTTAGGATCAACAATTAAAAGAATTATGCACAATGCCGTTATTTTTTGCTGTTCAAATGGCTTAACAATGTACTAGCAAGATTAAGTGTCTAATGAGTTGTATTTTCGGTCATGTTTTTACACGATTTCTGATGTTTTAATCGAATTGCAGATACAAAATATTACAGTATCAGTAATTGCATTTGTGTTTTAATTGTTTAAAAGTGAAATTAAAACTCACAAAACAGTTAGTTTTTCTTAAATGCATTAACAAAGTATTTTGCTTGAAAGTTGTTGTTTACAGATTTTCTGACTGTTAATTTGGAGGATCTGTTGGTTTTTAAACAAAATGTAAGCCACAGCTTCTAATGCAGCTATATTTGTTCAATAATCTTGACATGCATTGTCTGAAAATGCAGTGTTAAATATTTTCTGGCGGTGAGTCGGTAATACCTGTTGTAAAAGCGCTGATCCAGTTGGCGTTCCGTTTCTGTCAACTATTTTCGGTCAGATTTGTTTTACACATTTTCAGTTTCACTCGAGTGCAGATGATCAAAAACTGGTATCGTATTTTTAATTGCTTTTGTGTTGTTTTTTTTTAAAATAAATCACAATACACTAAAATTAACTAGAAAGGATTTACAAAGTTCTGTCTTAAAATTTTGTAAACATATTTTTTCCGTTCAATTTGGGGGCTTGTTGTTAAAAAAAATATGTAAGCTACAACTTAGAATGCAGCTAAATTTGCTAGGATAATTTTCTCATTTATTGTCAAAAATGCAGGTTGTTTGGGATGTTTTCTGGCACTTAGTCGAATATGCCTGTTGATAAAAGCGCTGAACATAGCGTCGTTCCGTTTCAGTCATTATTTTTATACGCCTTCTGAAGTATTCTCCGAAAAGCACTTACAAAAATTGGTGGAATATGTATAATATTTTTTGGTTATATACGTTTAAATACAAATCACAACAGTTAGTTTAACTAAAATGCATTACAAATGTTTTGCTTAAAAATACTTGATTATAAATTTTCTGACGGTCATTTTGGAGGATCCGTTGCTTTTCAACAAAAATGTAAGCCGCAACTTTCAATGCAGCTAAAATGTTTTGCCATCGTTTTGTCTGAACATGCAGCTTGCATTTTTTCTAGTAGATAGTCGGAAATACCCGGTGAAAAAAGCGCCGAACAATTCGTCGTTCCGTTTCTGTCAATTATTTTACTGTCATATTTGTTTACACTTTTTCTTAAGTCTTCATGGAATAAAAGAAAAACAACTGTTATAGTTTGCGTAATTTGCTTTTGCGTTTTATTTGTTTTTTTTTGCTTAAAAATAAAACTTAAAATACAGTTTATTTTGCTAAAATGGATTTACACGTCTTTGTCAGAAAAGTATTGTGTACAGATTTTCTAACGGTCAATCTGTTGGACCTGTTGTTTAAAAATGAACTATAAGAAATAACTTCTAATGCAGCCTTTTTTGCTGACATATTTTTTGCATTTATTGTCTGAAAATGCAGGTTTGCATATTTTTTTCGGGATTAGTCGGAAATACTTGTTGCTATTAGCGCTGAACAATTTTTCGTTTCGCTTCTGTCAATTATTTTCGGTCCCGATTTTTGAAAGTTTCCTTTAATAACAGATTTTTTTAAACAACAGGTCTCCCGAATTGAACGTCAAAAAATATGTTAACAAGAAGTTGGAGACAAAAATTGGTAAATTCATTTTGGCAAAATTAAGTGTCCTGTAAGTTTTATTTAAACGCAAATAAAAAAAAACCAAATAAAACACCAAAGGATTCAAAAATACTATACCAGTTTTTGATCTGCAACTCGATAAAAAAATTAAGAGATCGTGTTAAAATAATGACCGAAAAATAATTGACAGTTACTGAACGACAAATTGTTCAGCGCTTATATCAAGATGTGATTCCGACTGAACACCAGAAAATATGCACAACTGCTTTTTCAGACAATAAAATGGCGCCATAATTGAGCAAATTTAGCGGCATTGGATGATGTGCCTTACATGGCATGGAAAAGCAACATCTCCTCCAAACTGACTGTCAGAAATGTGTAACCAAGAACTTTCAAGCAAAAATTCTTAAATGTATTTTAGCCAAACTAACTGTGTAGTGAAATGTTTTTTAACATATAAAACAAATAAAACGCAAAAATAATTATAGAATGATAACGAAAACGGGGAATGTGTCAAAGAGACAACAACCATATCAAAAAGCAGAACACAGCCGAAGGCCACCAATGGGTCTTCAACGCAGCAAGAATCCCTCAACCGCAGGTGGAATTTATCTGGCCCCTTAACAATGATGTATACTAGTTCACACTTAACTACGAAAGATATAAATGCGCATACATGCAACGGGGTTAAACATGTTTTGTGAGATATAAATTCACCCCTATAGCTCTAGCTAATTTGGAATAAACAAACACACAGCAATTCACACAGTAACACTCAGTTAAGAAGAAGTCCGAGTCCGATATTAGAATAGGTAACAGAAGAAACTAAGCAAAACGGCAATGATCAATATAAATCAACAAAGGACTACTCAGTTACTGCTTTGCCAGCTCCAGACCTCAATTAGACTGATCAAAAGATTATGTATTAATCAATATTGAAAAATATGACCGAAAATGATTGACAGAAACATAACGACAGTTTTTTAAACGCAATGAAGAACAGTTTGTTTCGACTCATACCCAGAAAATATGTCAACTTACATTTTCAGACATATGCGAAAAATTTATGTGAGCAAATATAGCTTCATTGGAAGTTGTTGCGTACAGTTTTTCTTTTAAACAACAGGTCCCACAAATTAAGCGTCAGAAAATATGTTAACAAGACTTTTCAGACAAAAATTTTCCTATGCACTGTATCAAAACTAAATATTGTGTGAGTTGTACGTATAAAAAAAAAATAAAACGCAAACCAATTATACATACTAAACCATTTTTTTATAATTTGCAATTAGACCAAAACTTCAGAAATCGTTTAAAAAAATAACTGACAAAAACAATACGACAATTTCATCAACACAATAAAGAGCAAGTATTTCCGACTAATAGCCAGAAAATATGTTAACTTACATTTTCAGGCAATAAATGATAAAACATGTGAGTAAATATATCTGCATTGGAAGTTGTATAGTACAGTTCTAAACAACATGACTGATATGCATAAAATCACATAAGTTAAGATATCCAATCATAGTCCTAATTTATCGTAGAACATGTAGAAAAATCCGTCCATTCGGAAAAAATCTGAACTTAAGTAGCTTTATACATCAGAAAATATGTTAACAAGACTTTTCAGACAAAAATTTGTAGATGCATTTGATCAAAACTAACTGTTTTGTCAGTTGTATTTTAACGTATACAACAAATTAAATGCAAAAGCAACTATAAATATTTTCATTCGAGTAAAACTTCAGAAAATCGCGTAAAAAATATGACCGAAAATGATTGGCAGAAAAGGAACGTTAATGTGTTTATCGCTATAAGGAACAGTTATTTCCAACTAACCGCCAACAAAAGCGTAAACCTACATTTTTTCAAACAATATCAAGGAAAATATTGGAGCATATATAGTTGCATTGAAACTCGTAGCTCAGTTTTTTTAAACAACAGAAAAGAACGTAAAAAAATATGTAAATAAGTATTAACACAAAATTTGTAAATTCATTTTTAAAATAAGTGTTTTGTAAGTTGCATTTTACCGTGATACACAAAAAAATTAAACATGCTATACCAGTTTCTGGTCATCTGAAATCGAGAATAGCTTCTAAACTCCGGTAAAAACAAAGTCCGAAAAATAATTGACAGAAACGGAACGACAAATTGTGCAGCGCTTTTATGACATGTATTCCCGATTGACCGCCAGAACATATGCAAAACTAATTTTCCAGGCAATAAAATGGCATTATAATTGAGAAAATTTGGCTGCATTGCAAGTTGTGGCTTACATGGTGTTGAAAAGCAACAGATCCTCCAAATTGACTGGTAGAATTGTGTAAACAAGAATTTTCAAGCAAAAATCTGTTTTTTCCTAAAAACAAAACTTACTTTATGTGAGGTGTATATAACCGTAAAAACAAATAAAACGCAAAAGCAATTAAACATACTATACCAGTTTCTGAACAGCAACTCGATTATAGCTTCAGAAATCGTGTAAAAAATATGACCCTAATAATTGACAGAAGCGAAACGACAAATTGTTCAGCGCTTTTAGCAGCATTTATTTCCGACTTATCGTAATAAAATACGTATACCTGCATTTTCAGATAATAAATGCGTTAAATATGTTAGAAATTATAAATGCATTGCATATTATGGTTAACATTTCAGTTACGAAGCCACAGATCCTCAAAAAAGATCGTCAGAAGACATGTAATGAAGAATTATCAGGTAAAAATTTGTAAATGTACTGTTTTGTGAGTTGTATTTTAACATTTTAAAACAAATAAAATGCCAGTATTTTATTTGCATTCTAAGAAAGAATTCGTTTTACAAATATGAACAAAAATAATTAACAGAAGCGGAACTACAAACTGTTCAGCGCTTTTAACAACAGGTGTTTCCGACTCACCGCCAAAATAAAATGTAAACATACAATTTTAATATTTTAATACTATATGGGCAAAACTTTTTGGGCAAATAAAGCTGCATTGAAAGTTGTAGCATAAAGATTTTTTTTAAACAACAGGTCCCCCGAAATAAACGTAAAAAAAAAATGGAAAACAAGAAATTTCGGACAAAAATTTGTACCTCCATTTGAGCAAAATTATGCGGATTGTGAGTTTTATTTTAACGTAAAAAAACGTAATGAAAAACAAAAGCAATTGAACATACGATACCAGTTTTTAATCTGTAACTCAATAGTGCTAAGGTAATCGTGTAAAAAAAATAAGAAAAATAAATGACAGAGGCGGGATGAAAAATTCTTCAGCGCTTTAAGGAGCATGTCTAATCGTTATAAAATATATAACCTGCATTTTCAGACAAAAAATGCAAACAATATGTGAGCAAATATAGGTACACTGGAAGTGGTGGCTTACAATTCTGTTATAAAGGAACATATCCTTCAAAAAAGATAGTCAGAAAAGACAATATATAAAAACAAGAATTTTCAAACAAATATTTGGAAACACATTTTAACAAAACCAACTGTTTTGTGAGTTGTAATTAAACGTTTCCAACAAATAAAAGGCAACAGCATTTAAACATACAATACCAGTATTTTATCTGCAATTCGAGGAAAACTTCAGAAATCGTCTAAAATATTATGACCAAAATATATTGACAGAAGCGAAGCGACAAATTGTTCATTTTTTTTAATAGCAGGTATACCGTTATAGAATATATAAACAATCGTTTTCAGACAATAAATGTGAAAAAAATAAATGTTAGTGTATTGGAAGTTGTGGCTTACATTTCTGTTATAAAGCAACAGACCCTTCTAAAAGATAGTCAGAAAAGTGGTAAACAAGAATTTTCTACCAAAAATTTGGAAAAGCAATTTAACAAAAATAAATGTTTTGTGACTTTCATTTTAATGTGAGAAAAAATCAAACGCAAAAGCAATTTGTACATACAATACCAATATTTCATCTGCAATTCGAGGAAAATTTCAGAAATCGTGTAAAAAGTATGAACGAAAACGTTGACAGAAGCGGAACGACAAATTGCTCAGCGCTTTTAGCACAGGTTGTGGCTTGCTTAAATATCGTTATAAAGCACAGATCCTCCAAAATGATTGTCAGAAATTTGTAACAAGAATTTTCAAGCAAAAAGTGGTAAACCGTTTTAACAAAACTAACTGTTTTGTGAGTTGTATTTTAACGTTTAAAACACATAAAACGCAAAAAGCAATTATATATGCAATACCAGTATTTTATCTGCAATTCGAGGAAAACTTCAGAAATCGTGTTAAAATAAACTGAAAATAATCAACAGAAGCGGAAATACAGATTGTTCTGCGCTTTTATCAGCCTGTTTTTCCGACTGATCGCCAAAAAAATAAGTTAACCTGCATTTGCAGACAATAAATGGGAAAATAGTCGATCAAATATAGCTGCATTGTACTATGTGTCTTATAGTGCTTTTATAAACAATGGGTCCCTTGAATTGATTGTCATAAAATATGTTAACAAGAATTAGTGTAAAAAAACACAAATGCATTTTAATATACGCAATCAATTTTTGATCAGCAACCCGAAAAAACTTTGGAAATCGTGTAACAAGTATGACCGCCAATAATTGAGAGAAACGGAATGACGTATTGTTTTGCGCTTTCAGCAACAGGTATTACCGGCTAACTGACAGACAATATGTAAACCTGCATCATTAGACAGTAAATTTGAAACGTTTTCAGCAAAAATGGATGCGTTGAAAATTTAGCTCACAGTTTAGAAACAGGTCGCCTGAATTGAACGTAAAAAAAATATGTAGTTGTAAATGCAATTTAACAAAACTAACTGTTTTGTGAATTGTATATGAACCTTTAAACCAATCAATCAAAAAAGTAAATAAACATTCAATAGCAGTATTGTAAAACTTCAGAAATCGTGTTAAAAAACTGACCGAAAAATAATTGACAGAAGCGAAACGACAAATTGTTCAGCGCTTTTAGCAGCAGGTATTTCAGACTAAATATTATTGAATATATAAACCTGCATTTCCAAACAATGAATACGATAAATATGTGAGCAAATATAGGTGCAGTTGATAGTGTAGCTTACATTTCTTCTTGAAAGCAACAGATCCTCCGAAATGATCGTCAGAAAATATGCAAACAAGAAGTTTTAACCAAAAGTTTGTAAATGCATTTTAACAAAACTTACTGTTTTGTGAGTTGTATTTTAATGTTTATAACAATAAAAATGCAAAAGCAATTAAACATACAATACCCGAATTTTATCTGCATTTGGAGGAAAACTTCAGAAATCATGTAAAAAAATTATCGAAAAATTATTAAAAGAAGAGGAACGACAAATTGTTTAGCACTTCTAGCAACATGTATTTCCGACTGCTCGCCCAAAAGTATATAAACCTGCATTTGCAGACAATAAATGGGAAAATATTTGAGCAAAGATAGCTACATTAGAAGTTGTGGCTTACATTTTTTATTAAAAAACAATAGGTGCTTTAATTGACCGTCAAAAAATATGTAAATAAAAACTTTTTTAGACAACAACTGATAAATCAATTTTAGCACAAATATCTATCTTGTGAGGTGTTTTTTAACGTCAAAACAAATAAAAAGCAAAAGCACTGAAACTTACTATACCAGTTTTTGATTTGTTACTGAATAAAATCTTAGGATATCGTGTAAACAAATATGACTGAAAATGATTGACAGAAATGGAACGACAAATTGTTGTCGGTTTTAGCAGCAGGTAGTTTCGACTTACCGTTATTGAATATATAAACCTGCATTTTCAGACAATAAATGCAAAGAACATGTGAACAAATATAGGTATAGGTGCATTCGAAATTGTGGCTTACATTTTTGTAATAAGGCAACAGATTCGCAAAATGATCGTCAAAATATATGTAAACAAAGAATTTTCATGCAAAAATTTGTAAATACATTTTAACGAAACTAACTGGTTTATGAGTTGTCTTGAAATCTTTAAAACAAAAAAATTGCAAAAGCAATCAAACATACAATACCAGTATTGTATCTGCAATTTTTGGGAAACTATAGAAATAGTGTAAAAACATATGACCGAAAATAATTGACAAAAGCGGAACGACAAATTCTTCGGCGCTTTTAGCAGCAGGCATTTCCGACTAAGCGTTATAGAATATATAAACCTGCATTTCCGGACAATGAATACGATAAATATGTGAGCAATTATAGGTGCATTGGATGTTGTGGCTTACATTACTCGTAGAAAGCAACAGATCCTCCGAAATGATCGTCAGCAAACATGTAAACAAGAATTTTTAAGGCAAAAATTTATAAATGCATTTTAACAAAACTGTTTTGTGTTTTATATTTTTACTTTTATAACAAATTAAATGCAAAAGCAATTAAAACGGTTTAACAATACAAGTATGTTATCTGCAATTGGAAGATAACTTCAGAAATCGTGTAAAAAATTATTGATAAATAATTGAAAGAAGCGGAACGACAAGTTGTTGTGCGGTTTTAGCAACATGTGTTTCCGACTGATCGCCCAATATTTTATTTTAACCTGCATTTGCAGACAATAATTGGAAAATATTTAAGCAAAGAAAGCTGCGCCGAAAATTGTGGCTTACAGTTTTTTTAAAAACAATAGGTACTTTTTATTGACCGTCAAAAAATATGTAAACAAAAATCTTTAGACAAAAATTGATAAATTCATTTTAGCAAAAGTATCTAACTTGTGAGATTTTGAGTTACAATAAAACAAAAAAGTATCGTTTATTTATTCCACGTTTAAAACAAATAAAACGCAAAAGCATTTAAACATACTATACTAGTTTTTGATTTAATACTGGACAAAAAATTAGAAATCGTGATAAAAAAATATGACCGAAATGGAACGACAAATTGTTCGGCTCTTTTAGAAGCAGGTAGTTCCGACTTACCTTTATTTATAATATAATAAATATAAATATATAAACCTGAATGTTTAGACAATAATTGTGAAGAATATTTGAGCAAATATAGATGCATTGGAAGTTGTGGCTTACATTTCCGTAATAAGGCAACAGATCACCCCAAAATAATCGTCAAAATATGTATGTAAACAAGAATTTTCAAGCAAGAAGTTGTAAATGCATTTAAACAAAACTAACTGTTTTGTGAATTGTATTTAAACCTTTAAAACAAACAAACCGCAATAGCAAATAAACATTCAATACCGGTATTGTATCTGCAATTCGAGGAAAACTTCAGAAATCGTGTTAAAAAATCTGATCGAAAATAATTAACAGAAGCGGAACGAGAAATTGTTCGGCGCTTTTAGTAGCAGGTATTTCCGACTAAATGTTATTAAATATTTAAACCTGCATTTCCACACAATGAATACGATACATATGTGAGCAAATATAGGTGCATTTGATAATGTGACCTACATTTCTGCAAGAAAGCAACAGATCCTCCGAAATGATCGTCAGGAAATATGTAAAGATTTTTAAAGAAATAATTTGTAAATGCATTTGAACAAAACGAACTGTTTTGTGAGTTGTATTTCAACGTTTATAACAAATAAAATGCAAAAGCAATTAGACATACAATACCCGTATTTTATCTGCAATTGGGGGAAAACTTCAGAAATCGTGTAAAAAAAAATGATCGAAAATAATTAAAAGAAGCGGAACGACAAATTGTTCAGCGCTTTTAGCAACATGTACTTCCGACTGATCGACCAAAAATATATAAAAGCTGCATTTGAAGACAATAAATGGGAAAA